CCTGCTCGGGACCGTTAAACATCTGGGGAGCAGGAGTGGGAGTGAGTGGCCAGTGCTGAGGCTGCCTCCTCCCCTCCCCTTATCCCCCCGCACCCCTTACCTTGATCTGCTTGATTTCATACTGGATTCGTTTGATCGGATTCCCATATATATCGTTCCCCGAATCCACCTCTTTTGCAGAGACGGCCTTTGCTCGGATCACTGCAACGGAGAGGTGTTGGGGTCAGCACAGGTGGTTGGGAACTGGAGGTGCCACCAGCGCCACGTGGTGCTGCCCTGGCGGGATGGTCCCACTCAGCTCCCCCATCCCCCAGGTGCTCCCACCCTGGCGTGGACCCGGCTGCCTGCAGTGAACCCCCTGCCCTCCCTAACTCACAGCTGGACGACACACGCTGTCACCACAGGGACGGGGCTCTGGCAGACACAGGGCAGCAATGCAGCAGCACCCTCATAGTGGGTGACAAGGAAAGGTCGCCCCAGAATTGCCCACCCCACCCTGCTGGGTGTGCCAGACCAGTCGCCCTTGGCCAGCGCTGTCTCAGACCCTGCCCACCCTCATATTTGTGGGCACAGGCTGGCCTTGCCCAGGCTCCTGTGACCCAGACAGCACCAGGACAGCTAAAATCTGCCAGCAGTGTCCTGAGAGCACCACAGTGTTTGTCCCACTGTCATTAATTAAACCAGTCTCTGATGAGGTCCCCAGCCAAATGCCTGCGTAGCCTGGCCAGCTGGGGGAGCAGACTGCATGGCCCCAGGGTGGTCCCAGCACTCAGTGTCCAGAGACAAGGTTGGGTCCCCCAGGACCAGCAAGGCCAGAATTGCCCACCCCACCCTGCTGGGTGTGCCAGACCAGTCGCCCTTGGCCAGCGCTGTCTCAGACCCTGCCCACCCTCATATTTGTGGGCACAGGCTGGCCTTGCCCAGGCTCCTGTGACCCAGACAGCACCAGGACAGCTAAAATCTGCCAGCAGTGTCCTGAGAGCACCACAGTGTTTGTCCCACTGTCATTAATTAAACCAGTCTCTGATGAGGTCCCCAGCCAAATGCCTGCGTAGCCTGGCCAGCTGGGGGAGCAGACTGCATGGCCCCAGGGTGGTCCCAGCACTCAGTGTCCAGAGACAAGGTTGGGTCCCCCAGGACCAGCAAGGCCATGGCACCCTGAAGCCCAGGGACAGTGACACAGGGACAGCTCTGCCATGGAAGGGTCCCTGGGGTCACGCTGCCAGCACAGCCCAGGGACACACAGACCAGCACGTGAGTGCTCGGCACGAGGCAGTGACCCAGGGTGCCCAGGCAGGCAGAGCCAGTTCAGCCTTAGTCACCGGCTCAGGACACAGCAGCCGGTTTGGTGCCATGCTGGGGTGGTGGACACAGCTATTCTGGGACCTGCATCCCTGCCCGCCCGGCTCCCCCTACTGGTGAGGGGACGAGGGCTCCCAACTAGCCCCAGGGTGACACTGACACTGCAGAGGGCCAAGACAGCCCCAAAGTTGCAGCCCCTCCCAGCATCCCTCAGAGCCCAGAGGGGCTGGCTGCAGGGTGGGAGCTCATAGGGCTCCCCACTGTGCTGACAGTGCTGCCATCCACCAGGCTGGCCAGCTCCCTGTCCCTCCAGGACATGCCAGGGCCCTGCCAGTGGGATGGCAAGTGCCAGCCAAGGCTAAGACCCAGCTTGTGTCCCCCGCCAAAGGGTGCTGGGGTAGGAGCAGCTGGGGACGCGTAGTTGGCACAGGCGAGCTTGGCTTCCTGGCACAGCAAGGAGAAGGAATCTGACTGTGCTCTATAAATACCTGGGGGGGCACGTGGATGGGCTATTTAAGCTGAAGGTCAGGGGGGCACAGCCCAATATGCCTACTGGGAAGGGCCAGCTGATTTTACTGTGGGAAGGAAATGGTGGCATGAGCAGGGGAAGAGACTTCCCAAAGCAGCCACCCTGGCAGGAGGGGGGGATACACCTCCCAAACCCAGCCACTCTGGTCAGTGCTGGCACTTGCACCTGGCAGCATCTCAGCCATGCAGGAAGCCCCTTGCCCCCAGGGCGCAGCCCCCCACCCAGGTCCCTGACCCCAGCTGGAGGAGCTCTGCTCCCCACACACAGGCTCAGTCCTTGCCTGCTGCTGGTGTCCACTCCCCTGCCAGGGTCACTGCAGCCACGGGCCACCCCTTGCCCCCTGACCCAGCACTCCGTGTCAGACCCTTTGCTGCTCCACACGTGGCTGCGGCGTAACCTGGATGCAGCCGGGCTGGAAGAGGCGCGCGCCGGCTCCCGCCCCCC